CAGTTCAAAGCCACAGCTACTCCGTGGAAGGAAGATGGGGCAATCTACTTCCATAAAGGTTTGCTGCTTTGGAAACCCAATGGGTTGCTTTGAGTTGGGATCAACTTGATGGCAGTGGGTTTGTTTTGTTTTGTTTTTTAACGACAACACATGAGGGCAGACAGCAGACTTGGGCACGTTAACAAAGCCTTCAAAGAGCTGCCAGTCTGGTTTGAGAGAAAAGAAGCAGCTTTTCAACATCATAGTTGGGCCAAGAACAACTGAAAGCCACTTATTAAGCTAAACCTGGACTTGTGCTTAAATCCGTCATTCACAACAGCACTAAGTTCATGGTCTTTTTATGCTATGAAGCATCTGGGCTATGGAAAGGCAAGCAGTGAAAAGTCTTTGGAAATTATGTTCTTGGGTTTGCAATGGCAAGGAGAGATTTCTTTCAGATTAATCATATACGTCTGATTTGGCATTAACACAATCTAAAATGTTCTCTCTAAAGAAGAGTTTTTGAAGAGTGACAACATAGAAGATGCCCAAGTAGGAAGCTCTAGAAATCACTTGCCCCACCAAAACCTATTGAGTTGGCAGTAACTGTTTAAAGAACTATTTACAACACATTTAGTGTTGTGGGGAGGGGAATGCTTGATGAAGAAAGAGGCTGTTAAATTTTAGTGTTTTGCATAGCAGCTACCACCCCCCAACCAAAAGTCCCATAGTTGGGAGCCATGGAGATGGTGGTCCACAATCTTGTTCTGACTTGCAGATGTCAAGGAGGGCAAGAGAGACTTGTCTTCTACAAATTAGGGTTCTGTATTTTGATTACCGCTTTTGATCAGTGAGGAGCCAACCTAGAGGCAGAAGCAGCTTCTATCAGCAGTGGTCAAGACGGTTTAAAAAAGACTTGAAAATGATTTTGAGAGTGCCGAGAGAAAAAAAATGGCACACAAGAATTCTATATCCACACATGCACACCCATGTTCACTGCAGATTGTTCACAACAGCAAAAAGATGGAAACAACCTAAGTGTTCATCAACGGATTGATGGATAAACAAAATGTGGTACATACATACAGTGGAATACTATGCACCAATAAAGAATAATGAAGACTTCATGAAACATCTTAAACATGAGTGAATCTGGAAGACATTATGCTGAGTGAAATAGGTCAATCACAAAAGGACAAATACCGTACGCTACCACTTTTATAAGTTAAGAAAAGGTTTAGTCACAGAAAGCAACACTCTGATGGTTATCAGGGAAGGGAGGGGAAGGAAAGAGAACCACTTAATAGATTACATGTGTTAATAGTAGGCATGTGTTAACTCTGGTGAAGGGAAGGACAATACACAACATGAGAGAAGTCAGTGAAACACGACCACGGCAAACGAAGACACTGAGAGACACACAGGAATAAAGGACAACTGCAGTAACAACCACCCATATACAATTCACAACAACAGCAATAACAACCTAACATCTTTGTGACACTAGTGTGTGTGATCAGAAATTCAATGCAAAACCAAACTCAAAGAAACATTCTGAGCACAAACATGAAAATCAGCAAAGACATTGTGAGTGCGATTCTGAAAGATGTAAAAAGACTTTTAAGAAACATCAGCCGCTGAAGGTCCATCAGTGCCAGCATGCCAATGAACCACTGCTCAAGCATGACCATAAAGGATGCAGAAAACACTTTTTGCATCACCCAGCAGGTTAACAACATAAGAAGGTCCATGAGGGCTGTATACGACAAAAGGATGCTCCTTTGTGGCAAAAACATGGACAGAGCTTCTGAAACATGTGAGAGAAACCCATAAAGGTGTGGAGTATGCTGGAAAACATTCCAACTCAAAGATGATCTTAGGCAACACATGAAAGTATACTCCCCAGAAAGAGATGTGTGTTGATGTCCAAGAGATGGTTGTGGAAGAACCTACCCCACTGTGTTTAACCTCCAGAACCACGGTCCTCTTTTCATGAGGAAAAGCGCCCATTTCTGTGTGAACACCCTGGCTGTGGTAAATCATTTGCAATGAAACAAACTCTCACTAGGCATGCTGTGGAACACGATCCTGACAGGAGGAAAATG